AAAAAAAAAAAAAAAGCAATGGGAATAAGGTAACAAAAGATAAATTGCTTCTGAATCAACTGGCAAAGAATAAATGCTTTTTGAATGACGTCTGTTCCATGGACCCAATGAATAGTTTCATTCTTTCATATGACTAAGTGACTTAAAAGCTTTTTGAGTGATCCTGACGTCTTTCATAGGAAAGCGGCGACACATGATGATGAAATCCAGAGGCTGTATGAAGAAATGGAGCAACAGATCAAGAATGAGAAAGACAGGATACTTTTAGAGGTGAAACAATTATTACAGTTGAGTGTTACCATGGACCTCAAATTGTGTACTTCAATGAAACCTAATGAAGGACTATAAAGGGGGGCGGGGGATCTCATAGACTTTCATTGAAAGTCTATGAGAGACCAGAATATCATCGAAATTTAGGAAAGGGATCTTTTTTGTTGGGCCAAGAAAGAATCACCCAGAACACCCACTGTCATTATCAAAACGAACTATAATAACAAAAAAAGATTCTGAAAGGTTCTTAGACTAGCAATCTCATATGGGATTTATCATTTATGATTTTACAGTAGAAACACAAACTTGCTATGTACCATGGTAAATTGTATGGGTCATGTGATCTGTATATTCTCCAGGATTCTGAGCGGTTCTTGTCTCGCAGTCAGGACTTGGAGCATCAGCTTTCCACTAAAGAGAAAGAGCTGGAAATTATTTCTAACAAACAGAAACGGGTGGGTCACAACAAGTTCCTTTGCTTGTCACTAAACCAGTTTAACTAGTAATAATTATGAAGACATTGCACACCTATTAACTATTTTTAAATATTTAATTTAAAGATGCTTGGATAAGAATTATACAGAGAGTGAGATCATTTCCTGTAAGGGTTTTAATCCTAGTGAAAGATCAAGAAAAGGCTGTAACTTGAGCTCAAGAACAAACTAACATCTACATTTTAAGGACTTTGACTCAAATATGAGTCTTAATGCTCTGAAGTTTCTCTTGTATTACTCTGATTGTTTAACATAATCGCCAGATGTTGATCATTTGCTGGAAATTTGTGTTCAAGTTTCAGAAAACCACATCTGACAGTGCTGACGCACACAAAAATAGATGCTGATCTTTACACACAATAGACAAAACCCAGCAAAGCCTTTCCGTGCTAATGAATGAACAGAAAGTAGCAAAGTCTTAATGCCTCCTTTGCCTCTGTCATTACAAGCTTCATTTTCTTCTCTTCGCATTTGTGAACAGCTAAAGCAAATTAGTTCCTTTATTGTGCTCTTTGCTGCAATGCAACTTGGTGCAAAAGCAAGCAGAACTGCTTTTCTGCTGTGAGGAGCTGAAGTGTGGTGCTGTATGTTTGGTTATAGACGTGGTATTGTGTCCTATTTTGTCTATATTTAGCAGCATAGCATGAGTGTAAGAGCTTTCTTATCAATTCTTTCTCTCACAATGTCCCAGCCAAACATTCACAATAACACTTCCAAGGCCATCCTTCCAAGGATAGTGGTGTAAATATGCATGGCTGGCATGGAGGCCACACATTTGTGTTAAACCTGATGGTCATGTTATCCAGCACGATTGGTTTCAAAGAGCTTGTTGTTGTTCTTCAGTTATTTTTATGATAGCTTATATGTTGATTGTTTCATTTGTATGTGTGTGTTTGTTTGATGTCGGTCAGCTGGAGCATCAGTGTCGAGAGCTGCACAGCGAGCAGCGGGAGACGGCCGTGGAGAATGTTAAACTAAAGCAGTATAATGAGGACTTGAGCCGTGAGCTGGAGCACACCACCCAGGAGCTGAGTCTGGCCCAGGAGCAACTCATGCTGCTGCAGGAACAGGCCTCACGCCTGCACGAGGAGAGAGAGATGTGAGGAAGATATGACATTTAGTGCTATATGTACATGCATATATATATACAATATATGCATGTTTTGGACATAGTGTATTAATTTATATATATATATATATATATATATATATATATATATATATATAAATATATATATATATATATATTATTATCTGCATGCATTCTTGCGGACACTGTAAAAATCTTTTGAAGATTATTCGAGTATGTTTTACAAAAAATTAATGTTTAATTCATGTATGTTACTTGCTGTTTCTTTGCAATTAATTGTGAAATTTACTAACAATTTCTGAGTGAAAATGATTTCTACAGATTTTTTTTTTAGTGTAGGTCAATATATATATATATATATATATATATATATATATATATATAATAGTATATAATTAAATATATAATATAATTTTTTTTTATTAAAACATTAATTTTACACTACATTCAGAGCATTTCAGATTCACATTTCATACCAAAATCAGAAGAAAAATATTTTTTGCAAGAGATGTGAAAATTACATTTAGTGCTTTTATGATATTTCGAAATCTATTGGCTGAAATATATTTATGTACATCCTGCCTATGTATATGCCAATATATACGATATAATATATGCGTGTTTTGGACATAGTGTAGAATAAATATATTCAATCTCAAAAAGTGAAAAACATATAATTAATATAATGTAATGTAATGTAATATATATACTATAATATAATGTAATATCCACCTTATTTTTCAACCCAGAGATAAGCTTTTTTTCCTGTGAATGTGCAAGAAACACCATTTTGCCATATCAAGCAGCAAAACTAGTTTTTTTGTACAGCTAAACATATCTGGAAGCAGATGACACCAGAAACTTGACACATTAAATTTCCAAATGGCCACACCCGCTCTTACGGGTATATAATATAATATAATATAATATAATATAATATATAATGTAATGTAATGTAATGTAATACAATATTATATAATTTCATGGTTTTTTTTTTTTATTAAAACATGAATTTTACACTGTTCAAAGCATATCAGGGTCACATTTCCACATTTCACACACACACACACACACACACATATATATATATATATATATATAT